GGCGGGTGGGGGGAGATTTGAGGGAGGTTGGGGTGGGTTGGTGTGGGAGTAGTGGGCAAAAGCATTGGGGTAGGAATAGGGGGGTGGGCAAGGGTCGAGAAGACCCGGGGTAGGGTTAAGGTTTTTGTTCGGTGAGTTCCAGGATGCGTAGCCGTCCGAGTGTAGCTGCCCGCCAGAGTTCTGGCCTCTTCCTCCTCCACGGCCTTGACCACCACGACCGCCACCTCGGCCAGGGTAGCCACGGCCAGCCGCCGGATCTGCCACGCCGCCGGTTCGGCCATGTGGCTATTGCTGGTTCGTTCCCGGCTGCCCGCTGGTTCGTCCGACCAGGAGGGCTGTCCCGGTCTCGATGGAGTGCAATCGTTGACGTTCTAGGAGCAACAACGCCGACCGAGCTTGGAGAAAATTGGGTTGGGGCTGTTGAAATTGCATCCAAGAGGTTTGTGCTTGGAGATCGTCCGGTAGACCTCGCAATAGTTGGAGCACGAGCTGCGATTCGGAGACTGGGGCGTCGACGTCATCTAGCCAATCGGCTATGTTGCATAGGGTTTGGCAATAAGTAGCCATGGGCATGGATCCCTTAACCGTGGTGCGGAATTGATGTTCCAATTGCATCGCCCGAGTAGGTTTATTGTCATGGAAGAGACCATGAATAACCCGCCAAAGCTCGGAGGCCGTAGAAGTAGAGGAGATGACCAAGTCAGAGACCTCATCAGTCACCGTGGAGAGAATCCATCCTTGAAGCAAGGCATCAAGTTGAAACCATTCATCGTCGTCGGCGAATGAGGGGGTCTTGGATCCGGAGAGAAAGCCACGGAGATTGAACCTTTGAACAAGAAGCACGAAGAGACGGCACCATTTTTTGTAGTTTGGTTGAGAGAAGCTCAATTGTATGTGAACATGGAACTTGACGTTGGATATTGCCGTAAATGCCAAGTGAGGAGAATTGGAGGAGGATGATGATGAAGAGGATTTGTCCGTTGTTTTGTCGGAATTATCCATGGGAGGAGGAAGATATCAAAGGTTGAAGGAGGAGAAGTGGCCTGCGGCACCCTTACTGCTGAGAGAGGCAGTGACGAGAAAGAGAGAGAGCCGAGAGCAGGGGAGAAAAGAATTAGGTTTTTGGAATAGGCTCCGATACCATGAAGAATGAATATTTTCGGATGATTTTTTGTGTAGCAGTACAACCATATTTATATACAAGATGGGACTCCTAATCATGGTAGGAGTATAAGTAAGGAAATCTATACAAAAAGGTAACTACCAATAATACAATGATATAATAATAAATACATTAAATATACTTAACATAAATATATATTAAATATATTTAACAGTTATATACTCTAACACGCCCCCTCACAATCAATCTCACCATGGTATCGGAGCCACCGCTCTTGGTGACCTAAAAAAAGTTCTTTGCTCCCACCGCCGCCGCCTGTAATTCCGGCGATGGCGGCTCCACCCTATTCACCTCTATTTTCTTTTTCTTCTTTATCCTCAAATCAACTTCTCCATTCAAATGAAAAAAAAAGAAAAAAACCCTTGATGAAATCACACAAAAAAAACTATCAAAGGAGAAACTTCTCTCTTGCCATCTCCATGGTTCTTAAAAAAAACCCAACTCCTCACGAACTCTCTCAGATCATCCTATCTTCTCAAAAAAAGAAAAAAAATGATTGTTGTTTCTCTCCAATTCACCATATCAAAATCTCAGACCCAAATTATTTTTCCATCTCCAATTCTTAACCTACTTTTTCTCTCTAAAATCACTCATTCTAATCATCAAACTCCCTTCTCTTTCTCTTCTGTTGAACCAATAAAAATCCAAAGTAAATCATCACAAAAGGAAAGCCAAGAGGGGAAGTAGTGAAAGAGGAAAGAATACCTCTACACCCTTCAAGAAAGAAATAGGGCATTACCTGGATCCAAGAAAAAGACAAAGAATGGAAAAGATCTTCAATCAAAGAGACACCTCCAGTAGCCTTCTATATTCTTCTTCGACGTCAGAAGCTACAAGCACATGTCAACATTCTCTCTTCTTCTTCGACGTCAGCAGCTACTAGCGCACGTCAATTTCTCTCTTCTCCAACGACGTTCGCAGCTACCAGTGCACGTCAGACTTCTCTTTTCTCCAACGACGACAGCAGCCACCGGCGCATGTCAGACTTATCTCTTCTTAAAGTTTCCAGTTTCCAGCTAGTGGCCAAGCTTCCTCTTGCTTTAGTCAGAGTTCAGCTTGAGGGGGATGTTAGACAATAATATTAAGTATTCCTAGTTATGGTATAAGTTGTATTTAATTAGTTAGTTTCCATTCTCTATTCCTAGTTGTGTTAGGAGTCTCTCCTATATATACTCTATCATGTACTTCATAATTCAAGAGAGCAATATTATTATTCCAATATTTCAACAAATATCACCAATAATTAAAATATACGGAGTAACTAACAAAAAAGTTATACTTTCATTTATTTGATCTACTTTTTATTATATCTAATATGTAAAATATTGCGCATATATAAATAATCCAATCATTTTCAACATAATCATATTGTAAATATTATACTTTGTATTTAGTATCTTCAATTAAACTTAATTGCATTGTAGAATATTAACTGATATTTCATTTTTAAATTGCTTAATTGTATCTTTAGTTTGTTCATCAAAGAACATCACATTGGGCCTATCTTCCATTGTTCGCTGCCTCGGTAGAAGTAAAACATAAAAAATATAAAAAAAAAAGTTCTATGTCTTTATTCCAAAAGTAAGGTTACAATGACAAAAATATCAATCATTAAAGAAAAAATAGGTTTGATTACATTATGTGGCACGTCTGATATTTAAAACAAAATCTTGTAATATATAAAATATAATTGCAAATATATTATTTTATGATAAATATTGCATAAATAAAGTGATGTGCAGTGTAGCCACAATAACTTTTAAATATTTAACATTCTGATATTTATGCTAATTTTATATTCTAATTACTCCGTAATTTTTTGAAAATGATTGGATTATTTATATATATGCGCAATGTAACGCTCCAAAACATACCCTAGAATTATTAATAGATAATTATTCAAATTAATCAAATTTGTTTTGATTAAAATAAATTGTTGTTGGGCCTTGGGCCAATAAGAAATATGTTTTATATCCAATATCACAATCTGAATAAACTCATAGAGATAAATCCAATATGTTAACTATTTGTATGGTCTTGATTGGAAACCTGAACACAGACCCAATTCAAGAATAAAAAAAGAAATCATTTATGAAGTGAACTTTAAAATGAATTATTGAAATAAATCAAGATAATAATTAATATGAATTAAATATGAGAATCTTTTTGAATAAAAGTCAACTGAATCAATTTTGACTCTGTCAAAGTCAAACACCCAAAAATATGATGTCGGAAAAGTATTACAAATAATTATGAAAAATATATCATTGAATAGAATTCGACTGTCTGATCGCAACGGTGCAAACGAGTTTCAATTCGGAGAAAGTTGGACCAAAAAGTGTACCCCTATTGGGCCAATTGAAAATCAAATCCTACGCAGCAATTTGTTTCCTTCTTCTTCATCTTCCCTATATAAGGGAGAACTCATTTCCCAACTACTAAACCATTCCTTCTGCAATCTAGTTCATTAGAATCCTGAGAGTGAGGAGAATAGACTGCTATTGTTGGTTACCGTTGAGGTCACGGAGCAAGGAGTTATTGTCGCCAAAAGTTTCGTTGTTCAAACGCCGGAATCATCGTTTAGCTTTGATGTAAGCCCGTAGATATATCAAGTGACTAGAATGTTCGTATAGATCGTTTCTACGTTCATAAACAGTCGTTTGGTTGAGTTTTGTGTTTGACATATTTGAAGAACCAAGAATCTTAAACCTTGAAATTGATGTTAAAACTACGAACTAATGATGCTAAAAAAGATCTATGAACCTTGGAGAGAATTTCTATATAGTTTAATTGAAGTTTGTTGACTAAAAATGGAATTTCAAAAATTTGGCCCGAGGTTGAAGATGACACTGTTTAAAGTTAACGCACAGAACGGGACGATGCTACCGCCGACATGGTAGCAAGGTACCGCCGGAACAGTAGCCACCTACCGTACCCATGGTAACAACCTACCGTCGACCGCCTTCCTCACAATGGCTAAATTGTGGCGGTCGGTACCAACGTACCGTGACACGATACCGAGGTACCGTACCGAGTACCGCTAGAAACTAGAAAAATGTCCCGAAAATTCTATTTTTGAACTCTAAAATCCTATTTTTGATACCATTTGATTATGATCATTATAAAGATGATTTTAAACAATAAAAATGATGTTTTGACAATTAAAAAGACCTTACGTGATGCATGACGGTAAGCTAGGGTGTTAACACTCAAAGCTAGACCGCTAATTGATACTCCATCTGTCCCAAAAAGTCTTTCGTGTTTCATTTTTTTCGCATCCCATAAAACACTCCTATCCTTCTTTTAAATGCCAAAAAAACATTCAAAATAACTTCTACCCACAATAAAGAAGAAATGTTGTAAATTTTAGGCATTTTAGATGTCGGTAGAAGTGTTTTATGGGATGCGCAAAAAATGAAACAGGAAAGACTTTTTGGGACGGAGGAAGTATTACTTGAATGTTTTGTTGATTGATGATTATGATGCATGACTATTATGGATTAATTATGATTATTTTGAATGAAATGATGACTATGAAGTATTGAAATAGGATAAAAATAAATGGATTGATGAAAAATGAGTTGTATTGTTAAGGCTATCTAGAAGACCTCTAAGATAGACCTCAGATTACAATGGGTCTTGCGGGTATAAATATGTATATTCAGTGGCCTTGGGTAAAAACGTATGTACGAGATCCACAAACCAAACTAGAGGCACTCGTTTGGGGATACCACGTAACCCGACAGTTAGTATTTTGTTGTTCGGTTTTCTGGATTGTACCTTAAGCGAAGGCTAGTTTAAGAGTTGGTAAATTGGTCAGAAAATATGTAACTTAAACTAATGACCTAGCTTAAGATTTGGTTAGAAGTACCTTAAACTAGGATTAGTTTAAGAGTTGGATAGAAGTACCTTAAACTAGAATTAGTTTAAGAGTTGGTAAACATTAAACAGATTGGCCTTAGACTAAGCAAATAGTTTAAGGATATTGTTGATTGTTGAATATGAATGTTGAATATGAAAGATGAGTATGAATGTTGAATGAAGAATACTGAATATTGATCATTGAATATCTGAACTGAATATTATGTGCATGATATCAAATGATTTGATTATGAATTGAGATTTAATTTATATGGATGTTCGACGCATTAGATATGCTTACTTAGCTTAAATGCTAACCGTGTAGTATATTTTATTTGCTACACGCAGGTTAATAGAAAGAATGATGTGACGTGATCCTGGAGGCAGACAGGGGCGAGATTGTCGGAATGGATGTGATTGTTTTTGAATTGAAATACATAAATAAATTATGTTTGTAATTATGATTTGTTAAGCTTCCGCGATATTGAAAACTCCATACTGTTTATGGAAAATATTATTGTGATAAATAAAAGTGTTTGAAATGTTTTAAATTCTTACGATTACCAAGTTAATACTTTAGTCCGAAAGGGGTTGTAGACCTAGACGGATTAGGGTGTTACACGCAATATTTTACATATTAGAGACAATAAAAAGTAGATCAAATAAATGAAAGTATAACTTTTTTGTTAGTTGTATTTTAATTATTGGTGATATTATCTGTTATCTGAATTTGTTTTTTTACACTTTTTGAATTATTTTTTCTTTTTCCAGATGTAGTTCTCTCTTGGTTTTTCCATATTATTATAAAGTTGGTTGGGAAACGAGGCTTGGATGACGCCGCGGAAAATAAAAATTTAGAGTTCAAAACTTGATTCCACCCAAGAACAACTTACGTAAATTACTAGCTATAGTAAGAAAATTACCTTAGCGGTGAAAAATAGAAAACAGAGAAACGTTCGGCGACGGTTTTGAGGAGATGAACGTAGCGCCAAACGTATGAAGCCTCCAACGTATCTACACGAACTTGCTCTGGAGTCCTATACCAAACTTGTGCTAACACGTTTAATATAATATAGTAGAACAAATATATTACTACTTTAGGGAGTAATAAATATATAGTAAAAAATATTTATCTTATAAATATTTCTTTATAATATTTTGTGTATATTTCTAACACTTTAGAAAATGAATTTGAACACAAAATAATATTTTCTTCTCTTCCTATAGGTTGGAAAAAATTTCTCTCTTGAAAATGGGGAGTGATTCTTTTATTTATAAAACATTACTTAAAAGAATTTCTAGGAAATTACTTAGGGACAAAACAAAATAGGATTAATGTAATGTCCCCAACCAACACAACAAAACAAATATCCTTTACTAATCAAATATTTGATTATATCAATCAAATATATTATTTGGTGGAATATCAAAAAGTGTTTTGTATTTTTCCCTTTAAAAAATCGGCACTCACAAATAAAATTGTACATCATATTTTATTTTGACATCAATAATTATCATATAATTAAAATGATGAAAATAAAATTTTATATATATACTTCCTCGGTCCCACTGTGTTTGTCCACTTACCTTTTGGCACACCATCCAATGCACTTCTCTAATCCATTTTATCTTGTAATTTGTATATTAAAAAATTATAAACATTATATATTAATAATCTATATGTTAAGACGAATAAAAAAAGATCACACATGACTATTTTTAGGCTTACACATTGGGAGAATTTGATGAGTCAAAGTGCTTAGATGAACAGTTCCAAAAGTCAAAACTGGACAAAGACAATGGGACGGAGGTAGTATATATATAAATTTTTTTATTAATTTTATTGGAACGATCGGTTACAAGCAGGGGGCCCGAGGCCTGTTAACCTCGTGACCGCCTCGGGGCCCGTTAAACACCCGAGGAAGATAGCCCACTATAAGAAGCCCAATGAAAGCCCAATCTAAAGCCCAACCCCATGAATCTGCAAACACTTCCCAGGGGGTCACCCATCATATCTCCTTCTAAGGATCAAACCCGGGTGGTGTGGTTCGCCAATCAACCCTGTGACCATCTCTACAGGGGGGAACCACTATATATATATATATATATATATATATATATATATATATATATATATATATATATATATATATATATATATATATATATATATATATATATATATATATATATATATATATATATATAGCCTTATGACGTCTGTATTATCATAAAGTGTGACTAGGGATATTCTAGACATAGCCTTCGTCAAGAAGTAACAGTCTCATAATCAGAACATCGTAGTCCTCACCTATTTTACTGAAGCGCTATCGTCTATGGACTGAAGCTATGTTATGTTACACGAGATATAAAACATACTTCAAGGTCTTTCATTCATGATAAAGTGTACAGTTATATATGTATTTGATTGCCGCTAGGGCACCTAAATACAACAAAGTTAGCATAGTTTAAGTGATTGCAATTAATTTTTAGTGTTCAAAAAAATAATTATAATATAAAGTTAGCATAGTTTAGTTATTGCAATTAATTTTTAGAGTATAGAGTTGTGTTGAAGTATATGTTGAATCTTAAATCCTCCTATTTATAACAGCAGCACGAAAAATTTCCCTCCCAGTTGTGCCATGATCAATACCACATAAGTTCGGGTAAAATATTGTGGTGTTAAAAACTGTAGTCCCACGTCTCAACCACCACTAAAGCACATCCTACGGGAAAGAACTTATTAATCATATGCGGTGCTTCATCGTATGTGGAGTTCTTAATAGATCGGAATGTAACAGAGGAGACTGAGAAACGAACATTGCAGCTTGAGAGAGAAGGAGAAGGTGGAGGCTTTCATTGCTGAAGTACTGTTCATCGTCTTCCTCGACCTTGACCTAACGGGTACACCTGAATTTCATCAATTTCTCTAAATATTTTTTGAATAATTAAGCTTTCAATCCATCTCTACTCCTAATTTCATCAATTTCTTCATATATATATTTTCATAATTTTATGTTAATTTCATCAATTTTGTAGCTTCATGTCAAAATAAGTTTAAGGTTTGTTGAGATTGATTTTCGAGTATACACAAGGACTGTTGTTTTTTTAAAATTAGCATATTAATAAATGGAATCAAATATCCAAAATATACAGGTTTGAAACTAATTAAAATGCATGGAAATATCCGAAAAAAAACAGGATCATTTCTCAAGTGTGAGTCATCCTTGCGTAAGGCATGCTAATCTTCTCGTTTTGTCCAATCACAAATAGTAAATTACGGTTAAAATCCTAATTTATAATATTTTATAAATCGTGATGAGAAAAATAGGGATTCCATCGAGTTTTTATTATGAGTTCTTTTTTTTGAAGTTTATTATCAGTTCTTGTTCTGCCCAGTATTGCAAATAGTTCCAAACAAAATTTTAATGAGGTTTAATGTTTCATTTGTCATCATTTTAGTTATTTTTTATCATATCTTTGGTCTTATGTGTTAGTCGGTTTAGACGTTGTGCCCAAGCCTTAGAGGGGGGTGAATAAGGCGTATAAAAACTTTTTGGAGTTTAATAAAAACAGTGTTGGCAAATGCGGAAGCAATATATAAAACGCAGAAATAAAAGCGTAAATAAAATGCACACCGATTTTATACTGGTTCGGGAACTCCCTACTCCAGTACCTCGAGGCTCCTCCTCAAGGATTTCCGAATCCACTAAGTCTCGGTCTCTTGAACTCCGTCAAAGCACCGCACTAGTTTTGGCAAACATATTTTGTGAGTGCTTTTGAGCTTGTGGATATAGGTATATAAAGTCATATCCTTACATTGGTTTCTACCTATATTCTACGTTAATTTAGTGTTTTGACTTCATTCTTGAGTACCGAATCTTAATGGAGATTCACTCCGAGATTTCACGACAGCTATCTCAAACCGTTTACAACGAAGATTTAACGGCTATCTTCTACCGTTCCCCGAAGGATATCAAAGGCTATCCTTGAACCTTTACCCAAAGATTTATACGGCTATCCTTAACCGTTACAGCGTGAGAATTTAACGGCTATTCTCGACCGTAAGAAAGTGTGTTTGAAGAACACAAACAAAGGTTCTACACAACGGCTTGAATATAAAAATGAAGTACAAAACTTAGCCGGTGTAGAACGAAATTATACTCTCTCAAAAATAGAATACAAACTTATGAATATGAGAGTATATAGCTAGAAACACAAGCTCAAAGTGTGTGTATAAAAATCGGGAATTTAAGTCTTTTAAAATAGCCAAAATATTAAAAATTATTAATAAAAGGATGAACACACTTAGAATAAAAAGAGAGGATGTTTAGAGCTTTGTTTCTTGAAAAATATGAAGGATTAGGCTTGTATTTATAGTGGAAGATGTTAATTAGCCGTTGGAAAGTGATTAAGGGTGATTTGAATTTAAATTGACAATTTGCTACAGTGTTAACATCGGATACGGTACCCTTCACGGTAGGGTCAGTACCGTCCGGTACCTAGGTACCGTGACCACGGTATAGCCTACCATTTGGGGGTACCGTGTAGGCCAAAAGTTCGGTTCGCTTCTGGCGGTACCTGGTTAGGACGGGTTGGGCCAACCGTCTATGCCTACCGTCCGGTACCCAGGTACCGTTACACGGTATGGGGGTACCGTGTAGGCGGTATACCCTACCGTTTGGGGTACCACTAGGGGTACCGTGCCACTGTCCTGAGTTTTCCAAAATTTCCCGTAATCCTTCTTGTTTGAGTTTAAAACCTTTTGGATATTTGAAAATGTTTATGAGATGGTTTTAAACATATTTTGTGAGTGCTTTTGAACTTGTGAATGTAGGTATATAAAGTCATATCCATACACTGGTTTCTACCTATATCCATACATTAGTGTTTCGACTTCATTCTTGAGTACCGAATCTTAATGGATTCTTGTTTTACCTGAAACACTTAAACAAACGTTAAGCTCTTATATTATTTGTTAACATCAAAACATGAGGCTTAGCAAACATGTAACACCCCAACCCGCGTAACCCGAACCAACGTGTTAGCGAACTGGGTTGTTACTAAATTGTTATTCGCATGCATAATTTTTTTAAAAAATAACCAACTGAATAAATTATGAATTCATCCGTGAGAGTTTAAAACTAAACCAAAATTTATCGAAGTAATAAAACAAGTCCAAAAGTCGCGGAAGCATAATAAAACCAAAGTAACGTCCAACAATCCATATAATCAACTAAAATAATGTAGTTTAATTACTAAAGTAAACAAGAGCCATCCACGCCACCACACTTCACCGCCCTTCGGGTTGCCCATCAAATTCTGTGTTCCTACCTGCGTGCAGTCAAACAACAACGACTACACGCTCAGCGAAACGCTGAGTGAAAATATACCTAAGCAAGCATTAACTCACAGAATAGCACCACATTAACCTACAATCAACAACAACATGTGATCGCGGAGAAAAATAGCTTAAATAAACATATTTATATTAACACCTTTCATTTGAACATCATGTCCTTATTTTATACCACATCAACTACTTTGAGTCATGGCACCCCAAGCGATGCTATAAAAGGGCCAGCTCAGAAACCCAAAGGATATTCACTTTGGGCGGGTTGAAGCCCTGTCCCTACGATGCCAGGACAGGTCGCGGGCTTCCGCACGTACGTTTTTAACCTTAGACCACCGGGGGTGCGACGACGCTCCGCAATGGCCAATTTCCTAATCATATTCTATTGGTGATTCAATCAGTCAACCCAATTCAGGTCCGCCTAATTATACTAGGTGGCCTATTTCCCATATATTATTCATAATCCACCATTTTCACCAATAAGATCAATTTAATTTAAATCTTAGTTCACAATTCACAACAAATCACGTAGCAGCCTATCCGGGCCGAATACCCACGATTACCGTCATGCATAATCAAACAACCAAAATTACATTTAAGTCAACTTACCTGCGCGGAATCGAGCCCAAGGAATCGATCCTCAGCCCGCTGCCCCCACCGGAGCAGTCCCCATCGTTGCTGGAGCAACCCCGGCACCCCCGCCGGTAGCCGCCCCGGCTGCCGAACCCAAAGCCAGACCAAACAGCCCCCGTTTGGTATTCCTTGGCCACGCAAACAGCCCCAAACATGCCCAATTACATCAATTTGAGTCCAGACGAACCCGATTACACCCAATTGTAGCCAAACGGACCCAATTGAAGCCAATTAGACCCAAATTGAATCCAATGGGAACTAATTGGACCCAATTGGATCCCACATATCCAACCCAAACCTCTGTCGGAGCCCTGACTGGACTGCCAACGTTCACCGCCGGCGTCTCACCAGAATCCAGCGGTGTTCAACCCCCAATTTCTTCAAACCCAACCAATTTCATCAATTAACAATCAAATTCACCATCAAATACAAAATTATACGTTAAGGAAGTTCTAATCTACGAATTAACGCTAACGGAAGGTATAGAAACCACGAATCACCTCGAAATTTGACGAATTCGAATCTTAATCGAGGAAGAAGAACTCCCGCTGCACTCCCTGGCTCGACGGATGGATAGAGCGCGACGACAAAACGAGAGGAGGACGTCGGCGGAAACCTAGCGGCGGCTCTGCTCGGCGTCTCCGGTCAGCGTCTGCGATCGGCGTCCCTGGTCAGCGGCACTCCCAGCGGAAACGTACAGCAACGGAAGAGGGAGGGAGAGAGTGCGTTAGGCGGATAGGTGCTGTGATCTCCCTAGGCTTTTAATATATAATTAAATATATTTAGGGTCCACTTTACACTACCTAACCAATTTGAATAAGTTTAACTCCAATTACCTGATTCGTCAATCGTATCTTGGACCCAATAAGTCCGATTCACGATCTGCTTGCACGATCGGGTTCAGAACATCGAGCTCTATGATGTAGGATAAACCCCCATTAATTAAGACATATTAGAAAATAATCTCCGTATTAACCGGCCCAATAATTAATTAATTTTATAAATTAATTAAAATATTAAGCTGGGTTTCGGGGCGTTACAAAACCAATGCTAACATTATGACCTACTCCCTCCGTTCTTAAAAACACTTCCCCTTTCAAAATTTTCATTTCCAATAAAACACTTCCTCTTCCATTTAAAATGTCTAAAATACCCCCTACCCTAAATTATTGCCCCTTGGTTATTTCACTCGTTTCTTACAGCTGTCTCTCTTTGTCCTTTCACGCTACTCTATCTGTTCACCACCCACTCTCTCCTTTCATGGCCGGCATTCCATCTTCTCCAGATCCTTCCATGCCCTCGTTTCGCTTGTTAAGTGATAGCGATGAGGAACGTCGTCGCCCCAAGAGAAAGATTTCTGGTGGTTCCTTCAACCATGATAAGGATTTCCTTCCACCGTTTCATAAAGGGATTGTGTCAATCCGTTCCTTTAATGGTGATGAAGATGTCCTTCCATCGGACTCATCTGACACCGATCCATCTTGGAACTATCGGAAAAAGTACCTTGGAGGTGACCATCTACCGGATGGAGTTGAGTGGAGTTTAGATCTGGAACGCGAAGAAGGTGAATCTGATGATGAATCAATTACCACTGAATAGATTAGATAAATGACCTCTGATACAGAGATCTTCTTTGCTGAACCGGTAGAAAGTCCCTCCAAACTCCAACGATTTCGCCAGAGTAATGTCCTTTAATCTTCAGTCCTTAATATATTTTGTATATGTCCCTACATGTTGTCTTTGTTCTTGATTTTGTTGGCAAACTAATGATGCAAACCTATTAATTTCCAAAATATAGGAGAATTGCTATAATGTAATGTCACCTCATTTGGTATGGAAACTTACAATGGTCAAAGAAGGTGATGTGTTTGGTCAGGCTTGTAGAGTTTAAGATGGAACTTCATTGTGTAATGTATGAAAGTCCTTAAGTGTGTGCTTCTGATGGAACTTCTATGTTATGGTACTATGTTATCTTAGTCATTAAGACCCTAAAACTGTGAAACTCCCTAAGTGTATGTGCCTGTGATGGAACCAAATAGTGATTATCCTAGTTTGTCTGAGGCATGATGGAACATGAATGTTCTGATCCTATGTTTTCTTAGCCATTTAGACTCTCCTTGAGTGTCTAATTTCAGTGAGTCCCTAAACATATGCCTGTGATGGAACCAAATTCTTATTCTCCTAGTGGCCGAAAATCGATTATTTCCTTCCTAATAATCTTCATGTGATGGAACCAAAATGATTCATGTTCCATCATGCCTCATAGAACCAAAATTTTTTAGGTGATGAGCTCTCGAGTCAAGCATGCTTAACAGTGGCCGAAAATCGATTATTTCCTTCCTAATAATCGATTAAAAATTTGTTCAGATAGTTAGTATATTTAAAAATAATAATAACCGATTATTTTAATCATAAAAATCGATTTAACGTTATTAATCGATTATTTTAATTATAAAAATCGATTTTTAAGTATTAATTGATTGTTTTAATCATAAAAATCGATTTAACGTTATTAATCGATTATTTTAATTATAAAAATCGATTTTTAAGTATTAATTGATTGTTTTAAATATAAAAATCGATTTTTAAGTATTAATTGATTATTTTAAATATAAAAATCGATTTTTAGTAATTAATTGATTATTTAAAATATAAAAATCGATTTTTAGCAATTAATTGATTATTTAAAATATAAAAATCGATTTTTAGCTATTAATGGATTATTTTAAATATAAAAATCGATTTTTAGGTATTAATTGATTATTTTTAAAAATAAAAATCGATTTTTATTAAGTCGAGATCTTGTTCCGAAAATATTCGGAAAATATATGCTCTAAAATCCACCAATTGATTATGATCATTGGAAAAATGATTTACCATAATAAAAATGATGTTTTTAACAAATAAAAATGTTATGTGATGCATGACGGTAAGTTAGGGTGTTAACACCCGAAGCTAGGCCGCTAATTATTATTGAATATTATGTTGATTGATGATTGTGGTAATGATTATTGATTGATTATTATGATGATTGAATCTTGATGAATATTCTGATTAAAAATGATAATTGTGAATGATTAAATCATAATGAATATATTGATGATTGTGAAAATGAAATGTATTGTTAAGGGTATCTAGAAGACCTCTAAGATATACCCATATTAATGTTGATTTGAAAGGTATCTAGAAGACCTCTAAGATATACCTATTTAAGTTAGGCCTTGCGGGTATGAACCCCGGTGGCTAGGGTTAAAACGTACGTACGGGATCCAAGAACCAAACTTGAGTACCTACTCGTTTGGGGGTACCACCCACCCAACAGTAAACACTACGCTGTCGGTTTTTGGTTGGCCTTAAGTGAAGGTAAGTTTAAGATTTTCAAAACCCTTTTATCTTAAACTAGGCCTAGCTTAAGGATTATTTAGAAGTACTTTATACTGGAATATAGTTTAATTATTTAAACTAGAATTCATTTAAGGGTTGATAAACATTAAAGTGATTGGCCTTAGACTAAGAATAGTTTAAGGATATTGTCAAATGTTGAATATTGAATATGAATGAATATTGAATGATGATTATTGAATTGAATATTGTGAATATTATGAATAACCGATGAACGTCGAATATGAATATAAATGTTGAATAATGAATGATGAATATTGACTAATGATTATTGAATATCTGAATTGAATATTATGTGCTTGATATCAAATGATTTGATTATGAATTTAGATTCAGTTTATATGGATGTTCGATGCATTAGATATGCTTACTCAGCTTCAACGCTGAGCGTGTAGTATGTTTTATTTGCTACACGCAGGTTAATGAAGTGACGTGATCCTGGAGGCAGACGGAGGTGAGATTGTCGGAATGGATGTGATGGTTTTGAATTAAAGAACATAAATAAATTATGTTTGTATTATGATTTGTTAAGCTTCCGCAATATTGAAAACTCCGTACTGTTTATATTATGAAAAATATTATTGTGATAAATAAAAGTGTTTGAAATGTTTTAAATTTTTACGATTACCAAGTTAATACTTTAATCTGAAAGGGGGTGCAGACCTGGACGGATTAGGGTGTTACAGTTTGGTATCGGAGCAAATGGTTTTAAACCCGATCTTCGGATCGAAACTTGATTTAAAAAAAAAAATTCAATCACATCCACGACTCTCGCATCCCTCTGCTCCAGGAAAAAGGTATGAGAATTTACTTGGTAAATAATGACTCTATTAGAATTGTCATTAAATAACAATTGATTAGTACTGAAACCGTATCGAGCGTAGACTCTTGTTAAACTGTTGTACTCGGTGAAGAGACAAAAAAATAAACGATATATTTATAATCACCTGATACGTTATCAATGTACACTTCGCATCGCAAATGACGAGACTGATCTGCATCGCAAAATTGAACGAAAGTGAGACGACTATGAAGAAACGATAAATGTTGAGAATCATCTGTGAAGCCGATGTCAAAGATCCTCATGTGGACTCAGGACGATCTAATTGCTGATTCAAACACGAACGTTTAGAATCAATAAACTCTTTTATCTAAAGTATCTGATACTATTGTTTGACTCATTAGGACACATTATGCGATTACTTAATGTGAATCGAAATCGTTCGTGAAGCGACAATTCTTTGTAAAACATCGTTGAAGTACCATACAAGGAAATCGAAATTATCCTTAGTATGCATTAACTGACTGAACGTCGTTGCTGTTGTCAACTTGTGATGAAGAATGCCTCAACTGAAGACCAATGATGGTAACCTTATAGAGGTGAAAGCAAAGCTGATTTCTAAACCGACCAAGTTGATCTCGAATATATATGTGAAAACATCTCAAGTGTGGAGTTTATTCGTGCGATACCCAAAAAGAAACATCTGAACTGAAGGAACGTACCAAAAGTATGTCACCTCTCTGATATGAAATGTCTAATATTTCATGATTCCGAGGAATTGAATTCTCTGTCAATCTTGATCCTAGAAAGGACCAATATTCGTAACTCTGCATTGATCGCCATCAATGACTTCCTGACAAAGAATCACCTGATCAAGTGTTTCCTCCTTGGGAGAATACATGTTTTGTTCATACGCGAATCAATGAGACTCTATATCAACTACTGTCAGTTGAACAATTCATTATCCTTTACCTCGTATCATGACTTATTTGATCAGCTTAGAGAATCCATTGTATTATCTAAGATTGACTTACGGTCAGGATACCCACAAATCCCTATCAAGAAACTTGAACAAACTGACGACCAAGAATCGTTGTCCTTTACAATGAACTGACGACTTGTTCGATCAAATTCAAGGAACCCGTTTGTTAGAAGCTATAGACAGCTCGACCTTGTTGAATGAACGGATGCCTTGTTATAATAACTTAATTGCTTATCGTCGAAAACATTAGTGAAATAAAGTGATGCTGACAAGGCAAATAGTTAAGAAAATTGAATCGTTCGTATACGCTATTAAAGTGAAAGATCGCGATGTGGAACAATACAAAACAAGATGTGAAACAGTGACACCAACAGTGAAAGAGTGAAGAATGAAGAAAATATAGCTCGCACTGGTCATACAGCCTAGAATAATATTTATGGAAAATATCATTTCAACATACAACTTGGATCATATGAGGATTGTTACAAATGCAATTCTAAGTCTAATCTCCCAGGATTCACAAACTCATCATAACTAACCCCAGGTCCCGGGAAAGCTTTAGCAAACTCTAGTTTGTCTAAAAGCTCGTCAACAGAGAAAGAAGAAATAAAAAGTTTCCTCTGACTAGAAGCCATGAAGTTCTGCCTCACCGCATCGTCTAAGAATTTTAGAAGGTTATTGAAATAACCGTCAATGTTTAAAAGACCAATGGGTCTATTGTGTAACCCTTCAGAAGCCCACGAGATCAAGGTGAACAAACCTTCCATGGTGTCAACTCCTCCGGGAAGAACAATGAAAGCTTCCACGACATGATTCATCTCAAAATATTTGTAGTAATTACTGGAAACTGTGTGCTCTACACCGTACGTAGGTCCATAGACCCGTCGTGTTGCTAGGTACCCAGGAATGAAACCTCTAACAAGACCACCATTGGTAAAGACTGTTGAAGCAACAGCTCCTTGAAGGCCAACACTACCTCCTCCATAGGCAAGTTTAATTTTTCGTCTTAACAATTCTCTTCCTAAATATACTGCAGTAGCCATAAACTTTGGATTTTTACCAAGAGAATGACTGCCAAGTAAACCAACGAATCTTATGGTGTAAGGAAGTGTTCGAGAAGTTCCTTCCATAATATGAGAATGTGAGATACTCTTTTCATAATTGTGATATATATAGTCTCTGAAACCTGACCATTGATGGAAATGTAATTATCAATAGCCAAAATACGTACAGTAATATGGAATCGATTTACCTACAGACGAGAATGCATTCGCCAATACTATAGTTTGCTGACGATATGACATATTGAGACTCTTGAACAATTAGATTTGCTATCCTGAAACATGTTCAAATCCGAGACGAAAAGTCAGAACGGCTATTTCCTAAGACAACGACCTCTTGAGTAACTTCCACAGAGTGAAACATTGAAGGATGAAAATCTACGATTAGTAACGATAATTTGCAAACGTTATGTTTGTAGCTTGTGACTCACATCCTTGAATGACTCGACTTGCTGTGTTAACTACACCCTTGAAATACCTCTCTTGGTCGATCTTGAATTCCATTCTTTGTGTCAAAATACTAAAACCACGATTCTTCATTAAACCAAAGATGCTTCATGATACCGAACTTTGAAAACTATAGTCTGTGAACTACGTGACTCGATCACAATAGTAAAACTACCCTAACTTGAACATTATGTTAAACCTCTCTAGGGAACTGCTGCGAAACAGTTAATGCAATTTCGTTATCTATGAATATTATTATCAAGAAACTCTGTTTTGACCCTAACAAAGGAATATATGTGCAACGACCAGAGAAGAAATGACGTCACAAGAATCAAGCTAAAATTATTCAGAGCGAAAATCCCCAACCTATATATAATATTGGAGTAAGAACTATTAAGATTTCTTACTTTATGAGTTCGTGAATTGAATCTCATACCGAATATATTTCCTTCTTCACTCGAAATGAAATGAACCATAGTGTTACATCAAACCCGTCATTATCAAGAACGTATATTCCAAAATCGATGAAGAAAGTTGAATACGACAAGACGTATATGAAACGCCACTCTAATGTTATCACCTGTGGATACGAATTAATGCAAAGACTCATTAACGATAAATGAGAGCTACCATGAAGATGAATGAAGAAATGTTTCAACATAAGGTCGATGAATGACGAACTACTGTACAACCGATCGATACTACCTCCTCATAAATGATGACAAATCCTATATTCTGGAAATCATGAACCAATAAAAGCCAATTTATGTTACTTACGAATCATTGCTGAACTATGAGAACGATGTGAGGATATTTTGGATGAAGATTACGCTATGACGTATGAATTAAACAACATCCAAATCTTCCACTACAACTGTCGCAAACTTGAAACTACAAATGCTACTGAAGGACTTTCAATCAAAGAAAGAATGTTGTTGACTAATCGAGACTTGTGAATGAACGAATTGAGGTGCAAATATGTCAGATATGCTCCAAAATACAATTATATACCATGCAAAGGAACTTGGTTATGAATGTTAAATCTGAACGAGAACCTGCAGAAAGGATCATTGTATACCTTTCTTAATCCAAGATTGTTAACCTCTTGAAAAATGAATGAGTTTAATAACACCGACAGTTGAGATTAATTATCCATGTGGATAATGACGTAAAACCAAGTGAACATGACACCATCATGATTAAGTAAGATCACTACGAAATGTTGAATATTTGGCCTGAGAAGAATTTCGAGGACGAAATTCCTTTTTAAGGAGGGGGGGGGGAGAAATGTAACGCCCCAAAATATGCCCTAGAATTATTAATGAAAAATTATTCAAGTAATCAAATTATTTTGATTAATAATAATAATAATTGTTATTGGGCTTTGGGTCGAAATGAAATATGTTTTAATATTCAATACCAAAATCTGGATAAGTCTCATAGAGATAAATCCAATATGTTGACTTATTGTGTAACCTTACTTGGGAACCTGAGTACAGACCCAAATCAAGGATAAATGAAGAAATTTGTTTATAATGTGAACTTTGAAATGATTTATTGAAATAAATCATGAGAACAAATGATACGAATTAAATGTGAGAACCTTTTTGAATAAAGGTCAAATAATGTCAAAGTCAAACACCCAAAAATATGATGTCAGAAAAAGTATCACAAATAATTATGAAAAGTATATAGTTGGATAGCGTTTAACTGTCTAATCGCAATGGTATAAACGGAATTCAATTCGGAGAAAGTTGGACTAAAAAGTGTACCCCGACTGGGACTGAATTTAGTCCCAATCAGGGACTTGCGTTTGGAATCGGAGAAATATCGCAGCCCGCTCCACTAGCCGCCCGAACAGGAAACCAGACATCACCCTTAGCAGCATCCTTCACCATTTTCCTATATAAGTACCATCTCCATTCCTTCAATTCCTCACCATTTCTTACAAACTTTCTGTCTATTCTGTTGCTGGGAGTGAGGAGAACGCAGTGGTGCTATCGTATTGGTGTGAGGTCGCCGGAGATAGCTACAATTCTCGCCGGAAGTTTTGCCGGAAAATCTTCAAAATCTCCATTAAGCTTCGAGGTAAGCCCGTAGATATATCTAGTGATTAGAATGTTCGTATAGATCTTTTTTACGTTCATAAACGGTCGTTTGGTTGAGTTTTATGTTTGACATGTTTGAAGAACCAAGAATCATAAACCAAGAAATTGTTGTTAAAACTACAAATTAATGACTCTAAAATGATCTGTGAACATTGGAGAACATTCCTATATAATTTAATTGAAGTTTGGTAATTAAAAATGATAATGTTAAAAATTGAACAGAGGAAGAAGATGATGAACAGTGGCCGAAAATCGATTATTTCCTTCCTAATAATTGATTAAAAATTTGTTCAGATAGTCAGTATATTTAAAAATAATAATAATCGATTATTTTAATCATAAAAATCGATTTAACGTTATTAATCAATTATTTTAATTATAAAAATCAATTTTTAAGTATTAATTGATTATTTTAAATATAAAAATCGATTTTTAGTAATTAATTGATTATTTAAAATATAAAATACGATTTTTAGTAATTAATGGATTATTTAAAATATAAAAATCCATTTTTAGCAATTAATTGATTATTTAAAATATAAAAATCGATTTTTAGCATTTAATTGATTATTTAAAATATCGATTTTTAGCTATTAATGGATTATTTTAAATATAAAAATCGATTTTTAGGTATTAATTGATTATTTTTAAAAATAAAAATCGATTTTTCTTAAGTCGAGATCCTGTTTCGAAAATATTCGGAAAATATATGCTCTAAAATCCACCAATTGATTATGATCATTGGAAAAATGATTTACCATAATAAAAATGATGTTTTTAACAAATAAAAATGTTATGTGATGCATGACGGTAAGTTAGGGTGTTAACACCCGAAGCTAGGCTGCTAATTATTAATGAATATTATGTTGATTGATGATTGTGGTAATGATTATTGATTGATTATTATGATGATTGAATCTTGATGAATATTCTGATTAAAAATGATAATTGTGAATGATTAAATCATAATTAATATATTGATGATTGTGAAAATGAAATGTATTGTTAAGGGTATCTAGAAGACCTCTAAGATTATTGAATATTATGTGCATGATATCAAATGATTATTGAATATCTGAATTGAATATTATGTGCATGATATCAAATGATTTGATTATGAATTTAGATTCAGTTTATATGGATGTTCGATGCATTAGATATGCTTACTCAACTTCAACGCTGAGCGTGTAGTATGTTTTATTTGCTACACGCAGGTTAATGAAGTGACGTGATCCTGGAGGCAGACGGAGGCGAGATTGTCGGAATGGATGTGATGGTTTTGAATTAAAGAACATAAATAAATTATGTTTGTATTATGATTTGTTAAGCTTCCGCAATATTGAAAACTCCGTACTGTTTATATTATGAAAAATATTATTGTGATAAATAAAAGTGTTTGAAATGTTTTAAATTTTTACGATTACCAAGTTAATACTTTAATCTGAAAGGGGCTGCAGACCTGGACGGATTAGGGTGTTACACTTGTAATCTTTGGTATTGGCTTGATTTTTATTGTACCAGCTGGCCTATTTTTGCTACTCCTTTGGGCTGCTTCCTCATATGTGAAAGGAAATATGCCTATTTTTCCATCCCATAACACTTCACCATCATCCCCAAATCTGGGACGACCTACAGCTGCCAAAAACATTATCTTGAGAATGTGTGTTTTGGACTGTGGGACTCTGTATGGTTTCTCCTCATCAGGCAATTTGTAAAAAGTTGTTGTTTCCTTGCTAAAGTTAAACCACTTTTCATCTATATGTATGTAGTTTTAGCAGTCATGGAATGTGGGGTTGTTTGGCAGTGATGTAGGAGAAATACGAGACAAACAATACCTGAGTCTCTTTAGCCTACCCTTTTCACACAGAAGGGGTTTAATGGCATTTGAATGTCTTCTTATTTTCTTTTCCTTGAGCCAATTGTGTGCTGTACTGGTCGAGACATTCATGCAATGGCTTATAGCACGTAAAGTCTTTCGTTGGTGAAATGGAATTTCACTCAGCTTTGAGAAGTCCACAACCTTATGTTTCTTTCCTACATTACCCTGCCATCTGCATTGAACATTTACAGCTTGGCCCCTCGCCAATTGACGTTTAGCAATTCTCCATAGCTCTCCAACCCAACGATGTGACATGTTAAACTGAGCTGCAACTGCCTTAATTGAGCCATGCTGAAGTTTGCCAGTGTTTAACTTTTGTAGAATTGCATCAACAATGTTTTTCCTTCGTTCATCTCTTGCGTGTACACCGGAAATACTGTTTGAATGATCTGTTTCAGGGGTGCTGAAAGCAAAAGGAACATCCAGGAGCGGCGTCAGGGGGTCAGCGGAGGAATCGACATCGGAAGCGGAATCAACGTCCTGTGTGGGGAAGAAGTCGGCTGCCATTAATGGAAAAGAAGAAAAAATTATAGAGCAACCACATTAAGTGCAGGTGTATTTTGGGTAGATGAAGTGTCTTTAATGTTAGAATATCATTGTGTATTTATTGAAGATGTTTGGGGTGTACATGAAATTGTGTGGAGGGATTTTTACATTTTTCCCAACCTTAAAATTTTTTGTAATTCCCTCTATTTTTTGTGGACTTAACCGTGTGGTATTTGAGAAGTGAAACAAAACACTATTTGTAATCATTCCTAAAGTACTATTCCCATTAATTGAACCCTTCCCTTGAACCTTCCTCTTCCATACCCACGTGAGTGATTGGAGGGTATAATGGGAAGGTCAAAGCCCAAAATATCAATCCTTATTTTTGCAAATAGTCAAAGTAGGAATACTTTTTCCAAACAGAGGGAGTATATGTTAGCGGCTTTTATATCTATTAATGATTGGGTCACATGTTGTAGAGGATATGTTGTATTTTGAGAATTTGTGGTTCAAACCTTGCAGCAAGATAGACATTACATGATTTTGAAGTTGATGTTCAAATATTGCCACAAGATATTATGTGTATGATTATGATACAGATGGTACATTAGTTATATTATTTATTAATTAGTAGTCATTTAATATTCAATAGTTAATCTTGTTTAGGGTTTTAGTATGGGCCCGAACCCATTAGGTTAATTAGGGTGTTCCCCCACCCCCTCGTCTATATATTTTATAATCAATCCTTTTTACCAGAAGCAATCAATAAAGAATAATCAAGAATTCTCTTACTCTCTCGTCTCTCTTTTCTTGGAGCTCAGAAACGCTCGGAGTTTTCCTTCTCTCTTTGCCTCCCCTTTCTTGGAGCTCGAAGACGCTCGAAGAAAGGGGAGGCAAAGAGAGAAGGAAAACTCTGAGCGTTTCCGAGCTCTAACAAAATAGAGACGAGAGATTAAGAGAATTCTTGATTATTCTTTATTGGTTGCTTCTGATAAAAAGGATTGATAACAATATATAGAGACGAGGGGTTGGGGGAACACCCTAATTAACCTAATGGGCTCGGGCCCATACTAAAACCCTAAACAAGATTAACTATTGAATATTAAATGACTACTAATTAATAAATAATATAACTAATCTACCATCCATATCATATTATTGTTTGCTAAAGCTATTGGTACTAGATTGATGAAGCTAGAATCACAATCACTTCAGGTTTTAAGACACTGCCTACATCCCTTAGGCTGATGGCTTTTCTTTCATTCTTCTGAATGTTTGCCGTTAATGCTTCAAATATCACACCATACCATTTTGTTTAAATATGTGCTCATACTTATTCACTAAAGCTTGAAGGTAGAAATTCTCGGAAAAAAGAGGATGTGAGGGATTCATATTTTTCTTGCAAACTTTTTTTTAATTTTTTATTTGTTGTTATGTTCATCATGACAAGAATTTTTTTATTGTTCATCCATATATTTTGGCTTCCGAAACTCTAGTATTTTAGGGGTCTAAAGGTTGTTATAGTTGTTCAAGAGGTCCTTCTATCATGATGAGGCTAATTTTTTGTCAATATCTAGTAGTAGCACTGATGGGAACCTTATTGCATCAAAATTTTCAAATTTGTTATTTATATATAGATTGATTTATGTATTTTTAATCTACCAAAAAGCACATTGTTGTTGAGTGTGAAAAGTGAATTAAATATAGAGGAATTATGTATTTTTAATCTACCAAAAAGCACATTGTTTTTTCCCCGATGTAGTGCATTTAGTCATTATCCATGAGTCATTATTCAAGTAAATGTTCGCTATCACTAAACATTATTGCTCATTCTAGACAATATTAAGTGTTATTTAGGGAATACAACAACTTAAGTGCTATTTAAAGAAATGACTTAAGTTTTAGTGTTATTTAGTGCAAATATTTCTTAAATATATGTTATGATGCAATCATTTAAATTAGTATTAACCCTTAAAAAAGCAGTATTAACCTTTTTTGTCATTAAATAATTCACATCCTTTAATATAAAATTTGAGAGTTGATTCATTAAAATTATGACATGTGTCACTTAAAGAGGTTTAATTTTTTGACACATCAGCCTTCCACGCGTCAAACCTATAGAGTCCAGCCGTTTAGTCGTTTTCCTTCTCCGAAGAAAAATTCTGGAAAACTTTCCTTTCTGCGTTCCAGGCAATTAGGTGAAGAAGGAAGACATGAACTTCGCGATTTCATTCAACTATTCAGGGATTCACGGAGATTAAAAAAGAAACTTCCTTCTTCATCGCGGATCTATCGTCGGTGCAGTCCAAAACATGGATCTCCAAATTAGGTATGTTTCGAATTATTGATTCTTTTTTTGTATTTATGTATAATCAAGCTAAATCTAGGATTTAAATTACTTTCTTTCCAAAACATTGTTTTAATTTTGTCTTTGAAAAAAAATCAATAAAAGAACGGAGGGATTCAGTGAGTTTAGAAATTAGATTTTTATCTAATAAAAAAGACTCATTTTTTATTATTTTTCGTTTCCAAAATTAAGAGCTACGCATATATGTAAATGAGATCTTATAGGTTCATTCTTCACAGTTCATAATACTCCCTATAAATAATTTTCATTTGTTATATTGGAACCACCGCAGCCCTGTTTTTTTTCCCGTTGAAATTTTTTTCCTTATTCCTTCATAACCTATTTTTACATTGAGATGACTATTCATCTTTTCTCCAAAATCAATCCAGCGAGTAAGTGTTGGAGAAGAATGGTTTGTGTTGTAAGACTATATAGTGATGAGAAGATGACAAATTCTATTGTGGTATTTTGCTTTCTCTTCCCTTTAAGTTGGTAGTTTACAATGGTCTTTACTTTCAAATTGCTTTGTGACATCAATTTTTTTGTCATGTGAGGTATTTTGCTTTCTTTTCCCATGGCCTCCTTTATGGAAAATTTGTTAATTGGGTCATCACTTTTCATGGATTTTGGATCTTGGGTCTTGGGTTTATGGCATATAGTGGCTTTTGGATTTTAAATTTAGTAGAATACTAATAGGGAGAAGAAGATGTTATCATTTTGTCTTTTTAAACACATGCAATAGACTGTTGTGGCTTTGACATCTTAATCTAGCAGCCTAATCTGTTTTGTTTATGCATCCCCTTTGGGTTTGTTGTTAATTTTGATCAGACTCTTAGCCTTGTTGAATATAAGTGAGCCCTAGATGCCAACTTATGATTCCATATCTGTATTATGTCAAGAACAATAGGCCCTAAAGATTGTTTAAGTTGTCTCGTGTGATTTAAACATAGCTTTAGTCCATAGAGTAGGCGTTCTAGTAACACATATGAGAACTACGACGTTCTGATTATGAGGCTGTTACAAAGATAGAGGCTACGTCTAAAATATCCTTAGTCGAATATTATGACAATACGGACATCATAATATATCAAGACTAATACGTATGAGATGAGATAGCTACGTCTCATAGGCTATAGATAAAGTGTTATCTGAATCTATACGTAGGCAAACATATTGGATATATTGCTGGATTGACCCGCTATGAGAATAATATATGGGATTGAGTTAAAGTGTTAATATTATTCTCATGCGACCATTAGTATAACTATCCTTTGACTTGAAGTCATTACATTCTTTGGTAAGTTGAGTTGTATACTTTGAGGCATGATTTATGCCATCTGAAATATTGGTGGATGTACAGTTATGTTTTGGGTATGCAATGAAACTTAAGCGAAGATGTGAATGACGTAGATAGAATTTATCCCTTCCTTAATGAAGTATAATATCTTAGGGCCCACTGATTGATGTGACTTGGGAACTGCATGGCCATGCCCAAATAAATATGTTATTTGAATCCCATAAGTCAATCGAAGAATCAGTAAACCATCGATTTAACTTTAACAAGGTGACACACCCCATACCTTATGTTAAATCAAGATATTAGTGATAAATGGATAAGGGTTATACAAATAGGATGTGTCGTTGAAGGAATTGTTCCAAGAGCTTTAATCTATAATTTGGGGGTGATAATGTGTTGCTAGATACCGCTTATCATTTGTAGTAATATATACTATGGCCAATTTTATAGATGCCTAGAATAGGGTAACACACATAGAACATATGAAAGTGTAGAATATTTGAGTGGAGTAAAGTTGTACTTTATTTATATATCATGTGTATTATATTGTATGACAATATGATTACACAAACATATATATAAATAAATATTTGGACATTTTAATTATGTGATAATTAAGTTTGTGAAATATATTTAATAATATATATATATATATATATATATATATATATATATATATATTCGGATATATATATGCATAATAAATTGTTTATTATTTTTGTATTATTATTAAGGCACGAAATATATATTTATATATAAGACATTTTAATTATATGATAATTAAGTTTGTCAAATATTATTTAAGGAACAAAATATAACATAATTATTATATATATATGTGTGTGTGTGTGTGTGTGCGCGCGTAAATATATATATATGTATATATATGTGTGTGTGTTTCGTATATATGTATATATAATAAAAGTTTATATTATTTATTTTGTGTTAATTATATGATAATTAAAGTTGACAAAATAAATTGGAAGCTTCCTTAAAGTGATATTTGAAATTTCCTAAGTAGAATAGGAATGAGATTTGATTTCCTTCATAAACTCTAAAAGGTACATTCCTATTAGGAATAGGAATGGGGATTATACTCCTTATAAATAGGAGATTATCCCACCCCTTTTGAGAACTAGAAATTTCGGCCATAGCATAATTTTAAGAGAAAAAAATTTGTTTTGTTCTCTTAATACTTTACACCAAATATTTTATATTTTAGAAATACTCTAGAGAAAAATTACTAGCATAATTTTCTCTAGAACTCTCTTCATTGTTCGTGTGTCTCAACTGGAGGTCATATACTTTTTTGGCTAGCTCTTGTATCAATCCATCAACCTACACATATTGTTGTTTTCTCGCCAAGAAAGATATCTTTCTAAACAATAACTTATAATAATCATAAGAGGTCCTGGGTGGATCTACATTTGGACATCAAAATTTTTGTTTTTCGCTGCCCTATCCAAACGTAGAACCCAACAGTGGTATCAGAGCCGACTTATGAGAATTATAAGTTTTGTAGATCTAATTGTCGTGAGAGTTTTTGATAATTGATAAAATAAAATATATGTG